GGGCTAGGTTGAGACGAGGCCGTAACTCTGGCACCCTGTCAAACTCGAGGGTACCAGGGGTTGTGTTTTATGGATAACTTAGAAGTGCGAGTGATATCTGACAAGATTTGTCATAGACTAAGGTATTAATTCGGGATTCTAGCTATAACTGAGGACAAGGGACAAGAGACAAGGTCAATGGAAGACGGAAAACAAGACGTGGCCCTCTACATCGGCTCTACCCAACCCATATATACATCACAGTAACCAGAGCAACTAAGGCTTCAAGGGGTGCGCCTGCTGCTATTCTATTACTTCATTTGTAACCCATAGCAACCATTGTAACCCGGTAAACGCTCTAAGATTAGAGAATATTCAGATGTAGTGTAGGGAAAGAATATGAGGGTGCTGCTCTATCCTCAGTTCCTGGCACACCCCTAGTAGATTAGATTGTCACAGATCAACTATAGAAAGCAGGGAGCATTTGTATGGATGATGGTATATTAACAATTCAACTATGTAGAACTAAGCTACAGATACTTAGCCAGGTATTTATACAGATTACTACACTCCAAGCCCTTCCATCTAAGGTCAGTTCATTTCTAGATAATTCCAGTTGCAACTCTGAGAATATGGTTTCTAGTAGCTTCTCAAAGTTTCAGTTACAGTCTTGTTCATGTCGAATCTTATATAGTACCTTCGACAGTGGTTCTGGTATGTTCTGCAAGGCTATTGCGCTGGCCCACTCCCCTGGTGGTTATACGCCAGTACTTGCCATTACTGGCTACAGGAAAATACCGGCTTCTTAGCTGTTACATAGATAAAACACACATTTACAAGTCAGAAATTTTACTATCTCATAGCACATGCATACCAAGGTTTACCAACGTATCCTTCCTTTGCCCAATTGTGTAAACTTGTCCTGATCTCTCTCACGTCTATCCCAAAGAACTGCCTCCCAGGTTTGTCTGCCACGCTGTATTTCCTCAGTCGGGTGTGAATATTTGCGTGGGCGTTTATTTAGTGGCAATCTGAGGCGAGAGAAAGTCGAAGAGGGGTATGGTTATTGAAATGAGGATGTCCTAAGTAGTATCTGCAATCTTGATGAGCTTTTGGTGAACAATCTCGTCGATGGGAAGAAATCGATTTCGTAATTAATTATCTATTGATGTCATTAAAAAGTCGATATTGTAGAGAATCTTGGATCATTGCTTCGTGGGCCAACTCTTTCAGTAGTGCTAGATTTCACTGAACTTCGCTCTTTGATAACTTTTCACCTACACGTTCTTAGAGGACCCCACGTACAGGTGTTCGGTCATTGCCCTCCCCCTGTCAGCCTCTGTGAACGGCTGGGAAAGGTAGCTGTGTCTTTGAATTCAATGCAGAAGCAAATGTTATGGTCACCTGGAGTCCAGTGATACTCGTAATTTTCTTCGGCTACCACGTATCCACAACGGATCCCTGCTCCGATTACTGAAAGGGGGATATCCAAAAGCAAGTGGACCTCCAACTGTAAATGAACTGGAGGCTAGTGGTGAGTGGTAGTGTCGGAGGGAAGCTAAACTACATGATTCACCTCTCTAGTTATATATATTCAGGCTTGATGGCTCAGTGGTGCAAAGCCCGAGTCTTTTTCCCAAGTCGATGCTGGTTAGAATGAACATCTGATCATGGATTACTCGGCGGACTTGATAGGAAGTCCGTCTGCAGATAAGGTTCAAGGAAAACTTATCGACTTTAAAACTTGTTTTCGATATTGTATATGTATGTCTGTTATCACAGACATTGGAAATAATTCATGAGACTGCTTGATGAGTGGCTAGATTTGATTCCGATGTAATATTGTAGAAGACTTGTCCCAACTATCAGAGGGCTACAACGTCTTTATCTATCTACAGGTAAATTCCCCATATTCCAACCACGCTAGCCATACAGGACGTAGCATGTAAAGCCTGATTCGTATCATCATTTTGGGTTTGAGGTCTACCGTGCATATGCTACTCGAGTTGCATGTCTGACTACTATGCGACACGCTTAGGTATCAATCTAAAAACCCACACTAAAACCGAAACTTCTCACAACCCTGATGATGACCCCATGAATAATTGTAACAGTAGCCTGCAACATAGCACAATTAGGCTAGACATCGTTGACCAGGACCTAATCCGAACAAAAACAGAGGTAGACGACAAAAGTCTTCGGAGACATGGCATTTGGAAGCAGAGGCGTTGGCAAGTATCTGGTCCAAAATTCTACATGTGAATATTGTATGACTGCGTGACCCATTGAAACTGAACATTATCACCCCTAACATGAGCCGCAGAATGGCTCAAACCTGTTTGATATTTTCATTTTAACAACTGACACTTCTCACCGTCTCGATTTTTTTGGAAGATCTTTTACAGCTAGATTCATCTTGGGACCCTCTCCAATGTCATCTCACCATCTACCGAAGCTATCCATAATCCAAATATCAAACTCGCTATCTGAGATACAAGTTGATATGCACATCGCCACAACTTTCGCGCCCGGGAGGGCAAGACTGAACACCTGTCAGTGGTGCTCTCTACGAACCTGGGAGTGAAACATTCTCCCAGAGCCAAGTTCAGTCAAATTTCGCAATATCAAAGGAGTTGGCCCACGAGGCAAAATTTCAAATTACTCCACCAAGTCAATCTTTCACTCCCAAAGAGTCCGATTCTCAACTAGGCTTCATCAGGTCTACAAGTACGACCTAGTACATCCTCGTTTCGATGACCACACCTCTCGTCGACTTTCTCTGGCCTCAGCCGGTCACCAAATACACGCCCACGCCGATATTTATACCCGACGGAGGAAGCAAAACGTGGAGCACAATTTTGGGAGATAGCTCTTTGGGACGGACGTGAGAGGGATCAGGACAAGTTGATAAGATGATGCAGAGGATGGATACAGTCTCGACGGGCGTGAAATTTTGAATTTTGGAAAGAGTTTTACGAATTGAGCTTTGTGCGCGCCAAGACTTCGCTTGCGAGAGTGCAGCTCACACTATAAAAACAAGCAAACGATGGAAGGTGTTGTGGTCCGCCTCCTGGTGATGTTCTCCGGTATGGTTTGAGTAGCCTGGGCACCTACTCCACTTGGGAAGGAGACATCTCAGATTACATTTTGCGCGGAGAAAAGTTGATGGATGACAGAGGCATGTCTGGATAACTCAGGGTTTTTAAGACGTTCCCCTGGGTGGGTATTCACGGATGAGGGTTGACTTGGGGTGAAGAAAAAGCCACCATAACTTTGCAGTGGTACTTGCAAATGAAATCCGAGGCATGAGTGCTCCTATTATAAACTGAGTCATCTTTTCTGTACTTTTCTCTGATATTGTGTCATAGCTAGATAGCTGCATACGCAATTAAAATCTGATGCAAAAAAAAAAAACATTCGCGCGCTGTGAAGGTGCGGTCATACATTAAAAAAAAAAGGTGCGGTCGAAGTCCCGGCCTTTTTTTTATATTTTTTTTATATCATATTGTATTCAGCTATCTAGCTATGACAATAAGTCCCGGCCTTAAATTTGTTTATACTTCAGCCATGGGAGCCAGCTACTCGACTTGCGACGAAGCACCACCAATAAAATACATATAATAATTTTCCAGCAGATCAACCAGAGCATTTGAGAAAGTCTGAGGCATCGCTGCCCCGTTTTTGAACTCTCCGACCCATAGTCGGCCTACATAGTTGGGGGTATGGCGGCGACGGGGAAAAGTTTGAGGTTTATATAGCCCCTTAAGTTTCTGACATTAAGAGATTGCCAGAGCTGTGAGTGAGATGCTGCCTTTGAGGAAAAAAGGAAGGAAAACGGTGGAGACCTCTGTTGGCGACTGTGTAAGGCGTCGAACGATGAAAACACCATACGGGAGAGATGGGGACATGCTGTGAGGAGGCAAAACTAGACTTGAAGGGGAGGAAAATTACAAGAACGGGACTCTGCTAGAAATTTGAGCCCGTTGTGACAGAGTCTGTAGAGGAATTTGCGCTTTTGTGTGTGAAAATCGGGTTCTCAGGACGAAAGAGTTGTGATCCTAGTCTGCGCAAGGAAGCAAGGGCTTCATAGGCAAGACTCAGTGATGAAACAGCATGACTTTGGTTATGCAAGCTCATATTAATGCATGACTCAAATGTGAGTCGTGCTAATTATCAGGAGCTTAAGGATCAAACAATGTCGATACGCATTACATGAGTAAATCAGACAATCAATGGGCATGGCTGTAGAGCGAATCGTACATGTATGTTATCAGGCCCATTTACTTCTTAAGTAGATTATGCGTTCATCTTTAGATATCCATTTTATCCTCGGATAGTCCAAATACATTCGCCCACCACTAGAATATTCATTCCCTTTCTTCTTTGTAAATACACTTTCCTACCACAATACTTATCTATCTAACCTTGTGATCATAAAAAGAGTTGGGTATGATTTATAATACTGGTTTATTCTGAGCTGGGCCGAGGTTGTAATTGACAGTATTTGACCTAATTTAGTTCGGCTCCACTTGTTCCCGAGCCCCAACAGCACTTCAAGAGCGACAATTATCTGGCACGTCCCCATACAATTGAAAATTGAGTTGACAATATATGGGATTGATTGTGGGCGCGGACAAGTAGGGCAGGTATCCTCATTTAGACTCGTCTAACTCCACTAGTCATGCTATGATAGATTCGTGTGAAGCGAGCACATGAGCTGGAACTAAGTATGTAACTGAATAGGCGCTCGCTTTGTAATCTTGTAAGGATGGCCTGTTGATGATTCTTTCCTGTCGTGAAGGCTATTCCTTTCAATCTATAGTTCGCACGTTACGATTTTAGAAAGTCATACTTCCGCCGAACATAATCAACATTGGCAAGGCTAGCGGCTACCCTACCTAAGCGAAGTACTCTAGCGCCTTTTCTGCTACATATTGCTACGCACACTCTTTGATCACGCCTGATTATTGAACTTTCGCTTGCCTCGCTCTTCTCAACGAACCCGTAAAATTCTTGCGGAAATGGACCCGAACTTGAGTCAATTGCTGCAATGGAGCGTCGCTAACTCGACGGCACCAGGAGAGACAGTACTTGCATCTAATGGAAAAGACGAAATAACCTCCAAAGCCATTAACGCTCTATTTGGTGGACCCTCAGATGCTGACCTTATGATGGAAGCTATGAACATCATAATCTCTTCAGATCCGAGCATAGCCCTTGAAGATAAAATTGTAGCGTTCGATAACCTTGAGCAACTCATTGAGAACCTTGATAATGCCAACAATTTAGCACCACTGGCTCTCTGGACACCTCTGCTAGGTTGTCTTAGCCACAAAGAATCAGAACTGCGTCGAATGGCAGCCTGGTGTATAGGTACGGCCGTACAAAATAATGTCGCTTGTCAAGAAATATTAGTTGCAAACACTGGGTTGGCCAAGCTGGCTCAACTCGCTGTGGGAAAGGATGAAGAAAAGTCCGTACGGAGAAAGGCTATTTATGCCTTGAGCTCAGCTTGTAGAAATCACCAACCGGCAATGAATATTCTTATTTGTGAATTAGAAAATCTAGGAAGGGGAGCCGGGCCTATTGACGCTACAGATATGGATGCGTGCGATCTACTGTTTGGAGCCCTCAGGGAAGAAGTTCTCTAGTCAATGAAGCTTGAGTTCTGAATTAAATGTGGAAGTCATCCTATAGCTATCTAAAGAATGTTTCATTCGAAAAATCTATATTGTATGTCAAAAATTCAACTTCTACACATAAGTGAAGCTCCTCTGCATCCTCGCCTGTAATACGGGGTTTAGTAACGTTTATGTTTTATTCCCTATGCCCAACCCAAACGTGCAGGGAGCTATGATGCTTGTACAGACGCAAACATTATACATGTTAATATGCTGTTGATATGCTTCTCTGACACTACGAATCCTTACCCTTTCGTAAATCCTTGGCTCACACCAGAGTGGAAGATAGAGTGATATGATATACGCTGACACCGTAGAAAGTCTCATATTAATTAAATAGTGGTGGGATTGCTTCAATCCTTGCGGAATAAGTCGTGTTATTCTGAGCTCTAAGTGCTGGTATCAAAGAGACCATTAATTCATAAACAGGGGATTCGAGCTAGAGCTTTCCCCTGGCCAAGTTGTCTCGCATGATGTTCCTTTAAAGGGATGTCAAATCCATTTATTACATATTATAACTAGTCTACCATCTTGCCATAAAATGGGACCCCTAAAGCTGCAAGTAAAAGTCTTGCTTGCCGATCAGATGTAGCTGAAGTTTTGACAACCATATGGAATCCAGGTATCATCTTTGGTGGATACATCTTTAAGAGTTAGCAAATAATTTTAAAATAAAAAAAAACCTACGTCGTAATTGATAGCCACTTCGGGAAAAAGAATTACGCCTTCTGGGCTAAATCCCCATGCGAGATTTCCACTGCTATCACCGGTGGTTCCTATCAATTTTAGCTGTGTTGTAGTTTTACATTTGATTTAACTATTATCTCTTACCCGCGACACCTCGCCAATCCTTGAGTTTGGGGAAAACTAGGTGAATACATTTGTCAAGAAATTCGTATGCTGTATCTCCACTCAATGTAGCGCTAAGAGCGATAGGAACACCCTGCCGAAGCTTCCAGGCGGAAACACTTCTTTTCGCCTCATGAACTTGTGCTCTTACTCCCGTTAAGGTCTGAATCAGCATACCGGCAACGTGTAAGTATGCTACGTCGTTGGCTGCATCTTTGACAAATGAATGAATTGTGATTTCTTCAATCCTTGGTATGTTTCTCCAATGAATATCTTTCTCAGTGAGACTTAGGACCTCACCAGGTCCACGAGGACCTCGTTTGGGTCTTCCCTTGTGGTATGGCGAGCTTTCATCCCAAGTCCGTAATCTATCTGCTCGGGGAGGGGTGATTATTCCGGGCTGTTTATGCACATACATCATTGTCATAAGATCGGCAGCTATTGTCGATTGGTAGGTCTGATCAAGTCTGGTGTAGGAGAATGGTCCTGGGATAAACTCTCGAGATGCTGGATCTGTTTTAGGAGGTGGCTGATGGGGATGAAGTGGTCCGCGGTAGTATCTTGGAGAACGATATTGATATCTAGCGAGTATAAATAGTTGAAACGAGACTTTTATAACAGTGAGTTTTCCTACCGACTTGGTGGGAGCTGCCTCCGCCTTTTTTCTGACCGCTTGACTGGATCGAATCTATTGACCTTTTCATCATCTGATTGGGGCTTGAGAGATAAAGACGACAGTTCCAGATCGGCTAGGTCATTTGGCGTATTTTTGACAGTAGCGTTGACAGCAGAGAAATGACAGCGACTAACCAAAACCTTAACTGATGCAGGATTTGATCGCGTTGTACTGGGAACTAGCTTTCGAAGTGCTTTCGATGACATTTTACCCAATTTTGTCAAACTTGAAGAGGCTGGACTCGTATTTTGTAAAATCTGAATAAAGTGGCTTGGGTAGCAAACAGAGGAATCTTCGGGAAACACTTTACAAATGTCGGGGAAACATTACAAATGTATTGTATGATTTAGTGACTCGTTCAGAAGTTGGGGCAAGACTAATTGATTTTAGGGATGGAACTCTCTGATGATAATTATTTCTTAGAGCTCCGCGACTTGGTTGCCTACTTGATGAGGCAGGCTAAGCCTGATCGTGCCTCAAATGGCACGAGCGGCTAATATACACCGCTTCAAAAATCCAATCGCATAAAGATATCTACAGGAGAGCAAAGATTGAACCACTGTCCACGACGTCTTATACGAGCTAGAGAGTGAAATATTTTCACAGATCCACATTCAGTCAAATTCCGCAATACTAATCAACTTGACACTAGAGGTAATAACTCAGGATTAACCGCCATGTCGATCTATCACTTCCTACAAGATCGATTGCCTTCCAAGCATTCTTCAGTTTACATATACGACCTAGTGAGTCCTCATTTATATCATTACGCACGTCGTAGACTTGGTTTCTGGTCAGAAGTGACCTCCTAATATTCGCCCACTCCTAAACTTTTATTCACCAGAGTAAACAAATCATGGCGTAAATCTCTAGGAAGTAGACATTCGAGGTAGGAGTGAGAGATGATAAGATAGACAGGCAATATGAATTAATTGATAGATAAAACCATGGAAATTAAAAACTTCACATTGAGGTTTGTACACGCCAAGCCTTCAATTGCGACAGTACAGGCTACATAATAAATACCGTCACAGTCGGACGCTGCGGTGATACTATTTTTTTTTGCATCAGATTTTAGGCGCGTATGCAGCTCTCTAGCTATCACACAATATCAAAGAAAAGTACAGAAAAGATGACTCAATATAAAGGGAGGGCACTCGTACCTCAGATATCATTTGCAAGTACCACTGCGAAGTTATGGTGGCTTTTTCTTCACCCCTAGTCATCCCTCGTCCGTGAATACTCACCCCAGGGGAACGTCTCAAGAACCCAGGGTTATCCAGACATGCCTCCATCATCCATTATCTTTCCTCCGCGCGAAATATGGTATCAGGTGCCTCCTTCCCAATTGGAGTAGGTGCCCAGGCTACTCGACCCTAACCAGAGAACACCACCAGTAGGTGGATCACGGCACCTTCCATCGTTGACTTGTGTTTATAGTGTCAGCTGTACTCACAGACGCGTTTATCCCGTGTTGTACTTATTCTTGTGTTGTTATTGTTCTGGGAAATCATCTTATGAACCTGTCCTGATCCCTCTCATGTCTATCCCAAAGAACTGTCTTCCAGATTTGTGCGCTACGCTATGCTTCCTCCATCGAGTATAAATATCGGCGTGGGCGTGTATTTGGTGATTAGCCGATGCCAGAGAAAGTCGACGAGAGATGTGATCAATGGAATGAGGATGTACTAGGCCGTACTTTTAGACTTGATGAGACTTGGGTAGGAGTCAAACTCGTTGGGAGTGAAAAATTGATGTGGTGGAGTTTTTGAATAATTACCTCGTGGGCCAACTTCTTTGGTATTACGAAAATTGACTGAACTTGGCGCTGGGAGAATATTTCACTCCCAGGTTCGTAGAGGACACCGCGTACAGGTGTTCAGTCTTGCCCTCCGCTATGATACATTATTCGGGCGTGGACCTCAACTAGAGTCTTGGTCGCTTGAATATAGATCCCACTTGACATAAGAAATGGCTGGTTCTAATTCGGTAAGATAGAACCACATGTTTCGCAGTGCTTGTATGCATGATGGACATGTACAGGCACGGATAACCACATGTTACTGAAATTCCTTATTGTGGAGACTAGCCGAGATGGGTCGATTTTTATTTTAGTTTCAGATTCTAATTGCGCACTCAGCCGTCATGATCGAGTTTTTCACCTTCCAGTGGTGCAAATGTAATCGTTCAGTATGCCCTGCATATCTGAGAAAGCCAAGAAAAATCGTATCCGAATCGAAGATGAAAGCAATAATAGACACAATTGTAATCGGCGACTTCTCATCAATGTCGGTCCTGTGAATCTCACTGGAGTCCTCCACCTTAACCCCTCTATACACTACCTCACCTCAACGACCGATAAAGGCGTTACTCCAAAATCAAAAAGCAATTTGCTTCATTAGTTACCCACCATAACTCACTACAAATTTACGACGCTACGTATACCTGCAAGGAGGATATTAAGTCATAATATACAAAGCTCAGGTCTTGGTTCATGGGGGACTGTTGCTCTAACGGGGTTGTACATCTTGAGGAAGGACAGGCGGCTGAGATGTAGAGCGAGGGAGGGAACAGGTGTGTAAATGCTATGCCAGGACTGACATATTCGACAGGTTTTCAACTTTGGAACGTTTGTGGGTGCCAAGACCGAGATTTCGGCTAATTAGTCAGGAATTCCACTGTCGATGAGTCAACGACACTCCCCAACGCCCTGGATGGTACAAAAGAAGTCGGGCTAAGCTGCCACACGGAAATCACGCTCTGTCAAGACTTGTCTGACATTTCAGCACGACCTTCGGGAAGAAATTGGAGGGGGGCTAGAAAAGCAGAGGGTGGATGTCTCGAGGTACCCACAAGTCTGCAGCGCCTAGCTGGCCGGCCTCTTCGAACGCATCAGAAGGATCACTATGTCTTCGGATCTAGTCCTAATGTCGGAATTGGAAGAGCCCCACACCTAGTGGTTTTTGCGATTTTTCCCGGCCGCCATACACCCGTAAATAGCCATCGCTTCGTTGGCTGGAGAGTGGAGACGATGCAGGGCTAAGGGCTCCTCTTAGTGTATGATCGAATGAGGACTTGTGAGGGGTGGTACTGTTTGAGGGGAGCTGTATAGGAGGCAAAAGAGGGAATACACTACTGGCATACCTTTCTTTGGCCTGTACGCAGAGAGGACCTGCATGTCCTAGATAGTTACAGACTCAGACAGGACTACAAAAGGAAATAGTAATTTAAGTACAAATATCCTACGAGCCTCCTTGGCGTTAAATATTTATAAATGACAAATTATAATAGAGTCATCCGAAATCGAAGCCCTCTTGTCTAGTGTCGCTCCTCACTGCCGCTCGGCATGATTCAATGTGAGAGCAGAGGTTTGAAGAGCACCACTAAAAGATGTTGGGCCGTCGTAATCCAAATATCTTTGCTCAAGTAAATGTTCAATAAAACCTTGTTGTCATGAGTCGACTGGTAAACAATTTGCAATGCATGAATACAAAAATTTCTATAAAAATCTCGTCTTATTTGAGCCAGTTATTCTCGGCAAGGAACCGGATACTGGACTGGAGAAGAGGTGGCGCCGCAACTTTAATTGCGACCAAGATATTGAGATATTAAGCTAAAGATTTTTGTTCAGGGACTGAAGGACCATAATTTCAAGACTCAGTAATACTCTACATTCCCAGAAAGTTTAACAAGAATTGGCTAAGGATCTACCCTGAAGAATGCATTTACAAACGCCTCTGAGTATAGGAAGCCAATTGGATGGCCAAAGGTGAATCCAACACTTCCATCTCATTAATTCTCCAGCTTCTTGTATGCACAATCTTTTACAAGCAGATCTAGTTCTGTACATCACTCGATCTACATTCTCATTCTCAAATCGGTATTTTGTTCGCAACATTCGAGACGTCGCAATCTCTTGCCGGTTACAACCTAAACTCGCACACTATCCACCTGTATAAATTCTTACAGGGCTCTCGGAGAGTTAACTGAATTCATATTCAAGATGAAAACTTTTCAAATTGCTTCTATTGTTGCAGTGCTTAGTTTTTTGAAGCCGATAGTTGCTAAAAAATTGTTTTACTGTGGTCCTGCAGAAGTTAGCGTTGAACATGTTGATTCCGTTGCTAAATATCTATGGACTCATAAGATCTGGACTTATCAGTCGGATCATGAAGGTGCTTTCCCTCATTATTACGGCGAATCTGATTATGGAGAATTACGGAAATTTCCATTGCTTCCTAGTGGTTTCGTTTGGACCTGTATTTATTTATCCCGCTCCAGCCTCTTCAAGAGCTAACGTTTCGTAGTTGGGTCTTTTAATCATTATGTTGTATCAAACGAAAAAGGAGATTATATCAAACTCTATTACGTAGGTACTGATGGAACAGTGGAATGTGATATACCTAGAGATTAACAGATCGGGGAGTGTCAAGCAAAGTAATATTAAATATTGGTATGAATTTTATTTGAAGTGATTATCCCGATATGGTGTGATTTGTGCTCACGCAGGTGTCTGTGAACTTAATTTGAACAGAAGGAAACCTCCAAATACCATTGATGACTTTGAATTATTTTCCTTCAGGAAGCGCAGTAACAGTTAATTGCCGTCCATTCAAGCCAACCAAATCCTCTCCAACAACCTCATATGCTGCCCACCCTGTAACATTCCCCAACTGGATTTCGACTTCCTGTGCATTTGTGATGGCTCTCTATCCAGCATCCATCTAAGAATCACTATGTAGTCCCTTTGATTTCAGCAGTGTTATTTATCACTGCTTTCAAAAGCCGATTTTTGACATATGTGTAAATCTCTCTTTCATTTAATCATCGAGGACGGTAAATAATCTTGTGCTTAGGATTCGGCGATTGATAGCCATGTGAGCAGTTTTGGCTGTAGATTCCCGATACTATTTTTCTATGTTGAGTTGAGTCCCATGTGCTCGCTTCAATCTTGCATCGTTATGCTATTTTGGCCCCTTGTCTGGTGAAGGCAAAGCGGAGAAGAGCGCATTGATCATCTGGTCGCGTAAGGGAGACATCAACACCAGATCATCGAAAGTAGTAAGTATGTTATTAAATAATTGCGTAGGAGAAAAGAGCCATAATTTATACTGCATTCTCTAAACATCGTCATAGGCTCCGTAGAGACTTTAATTCTATTACACCGTGTTTTCTAAAGAAGTGGAGCCAAGCTGGTGTGAATTCGTACAAATCTTGCTGACGAAATTGACATGAAGTGTGTGTGTGTTTTGTTTATTGTACTACTTGAGTCTATGACTATCTAGCACATCGGGCTCCTCTCTGACCCAGGCCACACCTTGTACAGTGCTCCTATCCTCTTTTGTTTCTTGAAAGATCATTGATATATTCCCCTTGATGAATAGCCATTCAGCTCAGTGTTTACCCGTGGAATTTGGCCACCTTTTCTACGGAAACTCCTACCCAAAAAAAATAGAAATAGTTGCAATGGAAACTGCGTGCGCGGGAAAAAGTCTCAAAAAACCTTCAGCCCCAGCCAGGCGAGGCCTAGACACTGGGACCACATGAGGTGCGCATATTCATCTATATCTCCCTTCTTTGTAACAGTCGAGGCCGACTTGATCCAATCCGCCATCTCCGTATCGGGTGCTGAGTTCGCTCCGGAAACTCATCGGATGGCTTCTCCTCCATGATCAAGGGTTGGTGATGAGTAGGGATTCGAGCTTACCATCTGATCTGATCGTGGTTAGCTTCAAGATAATGGTGATAGTGGGATGTGTTGAGAGATGAAGACTATGTAGACAGCGAAAGCCATTGAGAATCCTCGTCGAAGTGAGGACTTTGTTACTCAATCTCGGCTCAGCAGACTCTACAGTGAGAGCCGGAGGTTCGTAGGGGACACCACTGACAGGTGTTGAGAATAGCCCCCCGAAGAGAGGTGTAAAAAGTAAACATAGACACTGCGTTGGGAACCCTCGCGCTATCAACGTAGTTATTACTACTAAGATCATACTTCGTTTCCAACACATAGGTAACGCGTAGCAAAACTGTTCGGAATCGAGTCTATGGAATGTTCTATTATTTCTTGTACACATGTACCATCGTGAAGAAGCATTCTACTTCATGCATCATCTTTTATTCGTACTGATACCTCATACCTATAAATTTATCTCTTCTCCAAGTAGACTACTGTCATTTTACCGACCTCTCTTCTCATTCACAGTACCTTTACCTGTTTTGTGAATACTAAACCTTTCGCAGACTCTAAATTCCTCCACATTAGAATTATCACTACATTTCACGAATCCAATAGTTCTTACCATACTATCAGAATGGAGCGAAGGCATGTGGGCTGATGTAGAATTGGAATAGAGAAGTATAACAGAAGCCGGGTTGGTATTGAATGAGTCGAAATATTTCACCGTATGAAAAGAACAAACATCCAATTATGGTTATACGTTATGGGGTATAATTGTGATTCTTGAGGTGACGTGCTGGCTACAGCACGAGTGTGGGTTCGGAGGGCAAGATTGAACACCTGTCAGTGGTGCCCTTTACGAACCTGGGAGTGAAACATTCTCCCAGAGCCAAGTTCAGTCAAATTTCGCAATACCGAACAAGTTGGCCCACGAGGCGATAATTCAAATAACTCCACCATATCAAATTTTCATTCCAAAAAAGATCGAATCCTACCTAAGCCTCGTTAAGTCTACAAGTACGACATGATACATCCTCATTCCAATTTGAATTTGAAATATTTTACGTGACAGGAAGAACCTAACATCTATTTAGACGTGACACGGGTAGATGGGCTCTGAAAGCTCATTGCTACCTACATGACCGGCAGTGGGGCCAGAAGCGACAAAAGAAAATGGTGAAAAAAAAAAAGAACAGTATGTGTCTGAGTTACGGTGCCCTGCGCCGCATCCCTCTCTTCCACACCCATCTACTCTCGGGTCAGAAACAATCTCAGCGTGGTCACCTCCTACCCTGTTCATTCTTCGGCAGACTGTAACATCGGCTTGTAGTTAAGAATCGAATGAACTTCTGCCATCCCTTCTCCCCTATCATTTCCCTGGCCCCAGGTGGGGCTATTTTCTCATAGATTCTCCAACGTAGAAAAGCAGGTCGGCACTCTGAAAAATGCCAGGGCCTTTTCTCTCGGCCGCAAACGCATTTCAGATCTTCATGTTCGGGGTTGAAACGTTGATGGTAGTCGGCATAGTCCCCGTGGCCTGTTCTTGCCGCAATAAGACGATGGTACGCCCATCTTGGTAAAGCTAGTTCCGGTGGTCTTTTGCAACGCATGAATAGGTCCAGATCTTTGTATCGTTTCAGTTGATACTTCTGCCACCACTCTTCCACGAGCTCTTGGCTACGCTGTTTAACCCACCTCCCTAATGCCGCAAATGTTAGATCTTGATCTTCTAGAATGGGCGCAGCTGGGGTTATTGACCGGTTATTGGAAGCTCCTAAGGCTGATTTGGCCAGCTTATCGGCCTCTTCATTGCCTTGAATCCCCACATGCCCGGGTATCCAGCGTATTTCCACACGCTTATTGTGTCTCAGCAATGAAAACTTGTCCACCACCGACTGCGAGGAGTTAGATCTTCCTCTTTCGAGCGCCTGGGTGGCCGCTTAGTTGTCCAGAGGAATGCAGATCAGCAAGTCTTTTCCTACCTCTATTGCAGCCTTCAAGGCTTTCATGGCACCTACAACTTCTGCATCGAATACCTCTGCTCCGGGAAGTGGACCGGAGCCACTTGCAACTAGCTTGCCTCCTTGGTATACTACATACCCCCAGGATGATTTTCCGGGACCCGATGATGATCCATCAGAGAAAGCTAAGACTGTGTTAGCTGGGCGGGAAGCTAACCACCGCTTTATACTTCCAGACCTAGCTTCATTTTCTCGACTACATGGAATCGATGCTGGAGTGCCACGTGGGAAGTATAGCTTTCCGGGGCCTTCGGCTGTCGGAACTCGACGCACACTCATTTGTAGGCGTGTCGTGTACCGTTTTGGTTGTCTGAACAATCGATCTCTTTGTCCCGATCTAAGACCTAAGCGTCTTATTGTCTCTTTCGGATCCTCAGCCGGCCGAATGGCTAGAGGATGCCAGGCATCCATTCTTCGCATACGAGCTGCAGACTGCAGCATCTTTTGCTGAAGAATTATCGATGCCGGGGGTATTCCCGCTTCACGATGAAGAGCAACATTGGGAGTGGTACGCCACGCTGGGAGTGCTACTCTAATAGCTTTCATTATCGTTTTTTCCAATAGAGATATGTGCCAGCCTACTCCAGTGCCGACTTCTTTATCTCGCAGTGTGGTTATTCGAGTGAGACCTTGCCACCACGCTTCTGCCCCGTATAGAGCTGTGCTCAGAACGCATGCATGTACTGCACGAATCAGAGGTCCAGGTGCTGCACCACGTTGAACTCCGTTTATATGTCGTAAGAAATGGACTAGACGATTAGCTTTTCCAGTCCATTCCTGTACATGTTGCTTGAAGTTTAGCTGGGTATCAAGCCAGATTCCTAGCCACCGGATATGAGGTGACGGTTCGATCCAGCGATCTTTCACCAAGATGGAAAGATCAGCCGCGTTAATTTTCTTTCTAGGCCCTCCTCCGGTCACTAGAAGTTCTGACTTTGCTGGGTCAAAATCGATCCTGTGTTCTCTTGCGAGAAGGATAAGGCTGTCGAGGTCGTCTTGAGCTGCGGAGATAGCATCCGCCGCGGTGTTTCCAATTCTGACAATAGCTACATTGTCAGCATAACCAAACCTACTCGTTAGACCGTGATCCTCAAAAAGCACAGCGATGTAGAGCATGAAAAGAAGTGGCGATAGTGGCGAGCCCTGAGGTACTCCACATTCCAGTATCTTCTCTTCTGTGATTCCACCGCGGTATTTGACCTGAACCTTTCGTTGGCAAAGAAATGTCTGAATAAACCGGCACAGGGATCGTGGCCAGCCTTGTTCTCGAAGGCGTTTGAGCAGTCGGTTGTGAAGGACTGCATCAAATGCACCTTGAATGTCGAGTGTGACCACAGCCGCACACTTACCACTTCTCATGGCCGCCTCAGCATCATGGATTACACAGGATGCAAGGTCGACTGCAGATCGTCCTGGTACGGAGCCGAATAGTTGTGGGTGAACAACTTGGTGACTTATTGTCAGCCATGCCATTCTCTTACCAACTAGACGCTCAAGTCCTTTACCTAAATTCGACAACAGCGAGATTGGTCGCCAACCCTTGGCAGTTGACAGATTTATACCCGGCTTTGGAAGAAGCACAACTTCTGCCACCCTGAAGGCCGTGGAAAAGTAGCCGATTTTCAGACAGGCCTGGTAAAGATCTTTCACGAGAGGTCCTTGTCGGTTCACAGGTGAATGGCGTATGGATAAAGGGCTTGTATTAAACATTTACTT